CCCAACCAAAAAAAAAAAAAAAAAAAAAGTGCAGGAAAGGTCCTTTCGCAAAGAAGAAAGGTCCTTTTTCTTTTTTCCTTTTAAAAAAGAAGTATTCCTTTTAAAAAAGAAACTATTCATATTGACGCCGATTATCTCTCCTCATCGTTGAGATTGTTCTCTAAAATTGCACTTGTTCAACTGTATTCTGGTAAAAATTTCTCGTATTTCCTCGTTTCTCTTTTGCTCTTTTCAAAATTTATGAAAAGGCTCCTCAAACTTAAAAACAAATAATAGAAATTACGCTCATAATAGCATGTACTTGAACCAAGCCAATTCTTGGTAATAATATATATAACTATTATTATTTTGATGATAGAGGATTTTGTTTTGTTTTTCTATAGACTTAATTCAGTTACATTATATTAATCTTTGTAACTCTGTGTGGCCTCAATGATCAGAAATTGTCTTTTCTTGGGGCTTAACCTTTGAAAAGTTAAGAAGAGAATTCTAATTTTCCTTTTTTTTTTTCTTTTTTCTTTTCCCATTTTTCCCATTTTTGATATCCAATCAAGATGCTAGATTTATTTATCTATTTATTTATTTATTATTTTTATTTATTTATTATTTTTATTTATTTTTTTGCTTACTAACCTTAGTTGCGGAGGCAGAAAAGGCAAGTGCCGTGGAATTTCAGTCAATGGGTGATTCTTCAAGTTGCCGTTTCAAATGGACAATTGAGAGCTTTACGAAGCTTAGTGTCAGGAAACTCTATTCTGATATTTTCTACGTAGGAGGCTACAAATGGTGCTTGTTAATTTTGTCAATATTATGTCGTTAATTAATTAGTCATGTCAGTTGAAGTACATCATTCTGATTTTGATTGAAACGCGCAGGAGGATTTTAATTTTCCCGAAAGGGAACAACGTGGATCACTTGTCGATGTATCTCGATGTTGCTGATTCGGAAACTTTGCCTTATGGATGGAGTAGAGATGCCCAGTTTAGCTTGTCTGTCATCAATCAGATTCATAGTGAAGGCACAGTTGAAAAGGGTACGATATTCTCTCTAATAATGATGTTCCTATAAAGAAGTTACTAGCATGAAATAGCATAACGGTTATTGGATAACGATACCGGTTACGCGTGTGGCTAAATTTATGTTCGTTTGTATTCTGCAGTTAGAAAACATGTGTTCAATGCAAGTGAGAGCGACTGGGGTTTCGCTTCATTCATTCCTCTTAGTGAACTAAATTCTTCTGCTAGCGGTTTTATTTTGAAAGACACATGCATCGTTGAAGCAGAGGTATATTGATTGTTATTGAGGACTGCTAAAGTGTGTAAACTAAGAACCGCAAAGCTTTGTTTATATGAATTCTCTCCTTCATACTTTACCATAGTCCTTACTTTAAAGGGGGACTTGAATCTTCACATTTTTTTGTCAAGAAAGAATTGTTATGATCTCTTACTATCATGTTACAGGTAAAGTTGTGTGGTCTGGACAAAGAGGAAGTAAAGAAAAAGGAAGAAGCTGAAGCATGCGTGGATAATGTCATAAAGGTAACATTACTTTGCAGTTGCTTGACACGTGTTTTAGTCCTTGTACCTGGAAAAGTTTTGAATGAAAAAAACTTTGAATTTCATTGATTCAAAGAGGGAAAAAAAATACATTGATTTGTAAGGTACAATAGGACCAATAAAACCTATTGACAGAATCCTCTTCATAAGGAAAAACCTATTGATAACCAATTTACACTCCATATCTGATTCTTCTAACAGTTTACAAAGCTGAGGATGGGTTTCTAATGCAATGTTTAGGTTTCAATTTCCTAATAAAAGGAGGGGAGATTCTACAGTGGGGGTGGGGCAACCCATCATGGGGCTCCACAGGACCATTGGTCGACATCGTAGGATTTAAATCAGATGGTGCATATTCTATGGGCTCTTGACTGTGAGCGAGTTCTTTAGACAATGCAGTTACACCCACTTCATAAATACCCGCCTGACTTTAATTGTACTGTTGAGGTCAATGGCTCCTACAGTTAGGGCGACTCTCAAAGAAAGGGAAGTAGAGGATTATTTGTTCATCAGTTATCACAGAAGACTGTTAACTGGACTTAATTCAGTAGTATCTTCATCTAGCTGGCATGTTTGTTCTTTATCATGGAAGTCACTTTTTGTAGGAATTTCTTCTTCGTTTTGGTGGTTTTTTTGGAGGAGGGGTTGGGGGATGATCTACTAGTTTTTCATTTGCTAGACATACCTCTGTTTTAATACTTCTAACTCTCGACTTCCTAACCACAAGTGAACAAAATGTTTCCATTTTGGAACCTATTGTTAAAAGCAGGACTGTTGGGGAAAATTAAAGTGAGTTTGACTTTGATGAATTCATTTCTTACTATGATGATTCAGGAGCCAACTTCTGTAGAAGCAAGAGAAAAATCCTCTTCATTTGCTGAATTTGACGCGTTGTTTACTGACATTCAAAAGCTATTGGGAGGAGAGACTTCTCAGGCAAAGTATTCAAGTAGCTTCCTCCATCCTCCATGTAGTGTTGAGGAGATCGCCGGTGCAAAGAAACTCCTCATACAACTCCTCAATATGGATCTTGCTAGCGTCATCCAATTGGAGAAAACTTATGAGCTCAAGAATTCACTTTCTATCTTGCTAACTGCCTATACATTTCCTGATAACGTGGTTGATAGGACAACCAAGTTTCTAGCTGACTTTGACCAAAGCTGTGAGAAATATGAATCTGCAAAGCAAGACCTAAGTGAGGCCCAAGAGGATGAAAAGGCAGTAGGTGAGCTGAAGACCACTCTGAAGCAATTGGTTTCGGAGTCCATACCTGTAAGGAATCAAGCTGAGACTGTTGATCGAGAAATAGCTAGGCTGGAGAAACACATGGCTGAGAGAAAGGCGAAAAAGTTGCTGCTTAGTAAGAGAGTTGAAGATTTGGCTGGTCGAGCAACTACTTCAAAACAGGAACTGGTCAGTGCTGAAGAGAAGATGAGGCTGTCAGCTGTCAAGAAGGAACAAGCAGAGAAGACGGTTGGTGACATAGAAAGGTCGTGGAATACTTTGAAGGCTGATTGTTCTGTACCGCTATACTAAATCCTTACAACAGTTCGGACATGTGAGAGTTGGGAACATGTTATTTCAACCTTCTTTTTTCTTTTTCTTTTTGGGAAAAGATCGCTTTCTTTTGGGGAAGTATGGACATGCAACAGCAAGTTAAAAGTTTCCCATCTAGGAAAATACTTGCTTTTGGATACTTGTATAAAGCATAAACTTACGTACGTATTCTTATATCCCCTCTACTTGCCTTCATAGGCTGTCTTCTTGTACTTTGGTTTGCTTTCTTTTGCATATTGGACCATCAACTTCTTTATAGCTTAGGTATGACTTTAAGATGATTTTAGGAAATATATTTACCTACCTAAGGTGCTTAGACCCAATACCAATAGGTTGGGATATTTTCCATTAGAAACCAAAGTCGCTGCTTGTCTTTATCTAAATTACCAATTGTTTTGGATCCATGTATTTTCTTTTTTGCCAAACCTTTTAATCATTGTGTTTGATTGTTAGTGTCCATGGTGATCGGGTATGACGGCACATGGTGAAAATTTCTTAGAACCTAGACAGAACTACAATCATAAAAGCTGGACTGCAGTGTTATTATCCGGCCACAAACACAACGTTTAAGTTAGTGTTTAACTAGTGAGAATGAGTAGTGTACCGTTCTATGGAGTGTCTGTACTTGTGGTGGTGGATTTGTGTAGAATTTATTGGCACGATATGCAGGCTAGTCATTACAGAATTCGCGGAAAATGCATTGTTCGTGTGGGGAGGAAGGCACATGGCACTCGTTGGATTAAACCCTTGACAATTGACACATCCTTGCAAGGCTTGTTAGGTGATTGCATCCCCTTGAGTGCCCATGTGTTTGGTTGGCCGGCGTTGTTCATCGCATCAAGTGATACAGAGAGCGTGAGCGGATGATCGGGATGGTCGTTGCAATCTTCAACTCTGAGAGGACAGTGGTAGTTTTGTTTGGGGCCATTTTTTTTTTTTTTTTTTTTTTTTTTTTGAGTTGTGTGGAACTAACCATGCATTTTTCTTTTTCTTTTTTTAAAAAAAAAATCGGAGTAACGAAACATTTTGCACACAAAAAACAAATGGAGGAGATGTTATAACGTTATATATTAAAATTGTAAATCCGATATATTAACCATCTACGCATATGGTCGTGATTGTTATCCAAAATTTATCATATTTCCTTCACTAGTGTTGGGAAGAGTGCATGTGTGTTGTCCCACATAGAAAGTAGGCGGAGATGTGATATGATTTATATATATAGAAAGACTCAAGACTCAATAAGTTAATATTTTGAGTCAAGTTAGAATCCTAAAGTGTGTTGAGCTAGTTTACATGTGGTGTCTTCTCAACAACTAGTCACTACAACCACGCCAACTTATTGAATTAAACATGCACCCTTTGTTTCTGGCGAGTTCTTCTACATTTTAGTAATAACTGTTGGGTAGAATTCCTCAAAGCCAATGTCAATTGTTTATGTGTTGGGAAAAAAAAAATGTTTGATGGTCATGGGATAAAACACCATCCTGATAGAATCCTTGCCTCATATCCCCACTTAAAAAATTAAAAAATTAAAAAAACCAGGGCCGGAGTTGAAGATTCACCGTTGAGGGGCCTTCCTATATCTACCTCATTCTACGTCATTACTTGACTTGCTAAATCACATATTATTAATCGGTATGTTTGCTTTAATTACAAAGCATGCCAATCTGTGTAAAACCAACATGGCCACCTTGGCTGATAGTCGAGCAATCAACCATTCCTTTTATTTTTATGCGTCAAGAGTTTTGTAGTCAAGGACTGATCACTAACGTTGAGAGTTGGTGATTCATGAAATGTCTTTAAGCCGAGGAAAACTCTTACAGGAGAAGGGTATGGGTTGAGAACTCTACCTAAACCCTACAGGTCACGACGTCTAAGAGAACTACATGACCAGATTTAAATGAAATCCTGCCAAATCAGGAAGAGACAAGCTACAACAACTGTTAAAGATTCAAATTTAGAAACCAGATAACTGATAAGGATAATTCCTTAGATTTGGGATTAACTTACTACTGGACCAGATGTTATCCAGGAGAATAACAAGAAAATAGCTATGATTCGGAAACGGTTGTTAATAGCTCAAAGTCATCAAAAGAGCTATGCTGACAAAAAGTGTAGACCTTTGAAATTCTAAGAAGGTGATTCTGTTCTGTTGAAGGTTTTCCCGCTCAAAGGAGTTATTCGTTTTGGTTTAAAAGGGAAACTAGCGCCATGATACATTGGACCATTCTCGATCGTGTAACAAGTCGATGTCGTAGCTTATCGTCTCGCCTTACTGCCTAAGTTATCTCACGTGCATAACGTGTTCCATGTTCCATACTTCGTAAATGCCAGAAGTTGTGGTGCAATGATACGACATTCCGATCCAGTAAGACACGATATACGAAGAAGCACCAGTTTAGATTCTTGATCAGAAAATAAAGAGTTTGCGTCATCGTGATATTCTGTTAGTGAAAGTGTTGTGACAATACCATGACGTCAAGGAATAAAATAAAACGAGGAATAAGAGAGAAAAAAGAACAAAAAATGCTGGTAAAGTTTTGACAGAGGAAGAGACAGCCAAAGCAAAATCATCGGCTAAAGAAAAAACCACCAAAGACCTAAAGCTCAGTAAAAGAGAAGGAAAAAAAAAATGCTCGACAGAAAGAGAAGAAATGAGGCTTTCAGCACGAAAGGGCAAAAACGCCCATTCCCAAATTATAACATTAAAAAGACGCATACGCCCCCGCACATAAAGAACAAAGAGAAGAGAAACCAAGGGCATTTCTGGGAAAAAAAAACAGCGTACAATAAACGGTGTTATGTGCCTAGATGAACAGTGAAAAAGATCCCTCCTTTAGTAATATATAATAATGTTGAAATTAAAAATAAAAAAAAGTTAGACCCGAAAAGAAGTCGTCTCGCAAAAAGAAGTCCTTCTTGATTATGTCCTTTACTTTTATACTGTGGAACACAGTTTCGTTTTTCTTTTATATGATTTCCACTTCCAAGCTTCACATTGACGCTGATTCTCTCTCTTGATCGTTCAGATTGTTTTGTCCGCTGCGCTTCATCACTTTCTCCATCCTTGGAAGGTAAAATTTATCGTTTTTTCTCTTTACTCTTTTCTCATTTCTAAATTCACGAAAATGTCTCCTTCCTAATGCTGAAACTTAAATGAGGAACAATGGAAGATATTGCATAACTTTGAAGCTTCTTGTGTTCTTTCTTCATTATCATTATCTGTCTTAGGCTCATAATAGCATGTGGTTGAACTAAGCCAATTCTCAGTAGTAGATAATTATTATTATCATTATTATTATTATTATTAACGATAATCCATAAGTAATTATTATTATTATTATTAAGGAAAATACAATAAATAGCAGATTTATAAAACTACCTTAAGTGAATAATATATTTTAAAATTATTTTAAGTAAATAGTAATTTATCATGTAAATTTTTTATTTCCGAATAGTAGAAAGATTTTTTTCACATATATGTTCTTCCAACGACTAGTAAAAAACATTTTCACATAAATAAAGATTTCTTACTACGTAAATTTTTTTTATCAGTCATAAACGAAATATTTACATGATAAACTGCTATTTATTTTAAATAATTTTTAAATATGCTATTTACTTAATTTAGTTCCAAAATTACAATTTCCATTATTTTTTTAAATCATTGTTATTTTAACGATAGCATATTAGTAATTAGTATTTCTTGATGATTTTGTTTGGTTTTTCTTTTTAATTAACTTAATTGAGTTACATTAAACTGATCTCATACACAGCTATAGTGTGGCCTAAATTATCATAATTCCGCTTATTTTGAGAAGCAAAAAGAATTTTTCAATGAAAATAAACATTTCTTACCACGCAAATTATTTTTTACCAGTCATAAATGAAACATTTACGTGATAAACTGCTATTTACTTCAAATAATTTTAAAATATACTATTTATTTAATTTAGTTTCAAATTTTGATATTTATTACAATTTTGTTATTATTTGTATTATTATTATTTTAACGATAGCCCATTAGTAATTATAATTTCTTGATGATTTTGTTTGGTTTTTCTTTTTAATTAACTTAATTGAGTTACATTAAACAGATTTCATACACTGCTATAGTGTGGCCTAAATTATCAGAATTCCCCTTATTTTGAGAAGTTTGGTGAGATGGTCGTTGAGCTGGTTAATAAAGCATTAACCATCAAGTCAATCAGTGACTTTTGACCAGTAAATCATTAATTAACATTGGTTAATCACTTATTGATATTGCTCATTCTGTGATTGCTCACCAAGTCAATAAATCAATATCGGTTCTTTTCAAGAAAATGAAGAAAACGGTCATTTTCCTAATTTAACAGAAGTTGGAGGTATTTGTAATATTTATGATAACGGTGCTTTAAAAAGTAACATTTCCTGCGTATCCAGCTATTATCATTCTTGGGGCTTAACCTTTGAAAAGTTAGAAACAAATGTTAATTTTCTTGTTTTTGTTTTTCCTTTTTCTTTTCTGCTCTTTTTGATATCCAATCAATATGCTAATTTTTTTCTCCATTTACTTTGTTTTGTTGTTTGTTTATTTTGCTTAAGAACTTTTAATTGGTCAAGCAGAAAAAGCAAGTAGCATGGAAGTACATGAATTTTCATGTTCGCGGTGCAGATGGACAATTGATAACTTTTCGAAGCTTGATAACAAGGAGCTCTATTCGGATAGTTTCTCTACAGGAGGCTACAAATGGTAACTAAGTTTTGCTATTTATCAATGTGGTTGGTAGATTAAGGCCTCATTCATTTCACTTATTTGCGTTTTCAATTTCCATTTTGCTACAGTTAAATGCTCTCACAAAGAGTCACATTTAAATTTTTCCGCTACAGTAAAAAACTTTCATATAAAATCACAACTCAGCTCAAATTTAAACTCGAATCAACGAACTGAATGAGGCCTAAGTATATTGCTAACTAATTAGTCCATTCAGTTGGTTAAACAATATTCCGATTCTAATTGAAACATACAGGAGGATATTGATTTTCCCTAAAGGGTACAACGTTGATTATTTGTCAATATATCTCAAAGTTCCTGATTTGGCAACCTTGCCTAAAGGATGGTCTAGAGATGCCCAGTTTAGCTTTTCTGTCATAAATCAGATTGATAGCAAAAACACAATCAAAATAGGTACGATATTCTGTCTAATCATGATGTTCACATAAAGAATTCATGAAGTAGCATAACAATTATTGGATAGTGATGCTGCTAAAATTGTGTTCATTTGTATTCTGCAGATACACAACATGTATTCAATGCAAGTAAGAGTGTTCGGGGTTTCAAATCATTTATTCTTCATAGTGAACTCTCTTCTGCTAAGGGTTTTATTTTGAAAGATACATGCATCATTGAAGCAGAGGTATATTGTTATTGAGTGCTGCTAACGTGCGGGAAAAATAAAAGTTGTGTGTGGATTAAGAACTACAAAGCTTTGTTTATATGAATTATCTCCTACATACTTTTCCGTAGTTTTTACTTTAAAGAAAGTTTGAATCTTCATGTTTGTTGTCAAGAAACCATTGTTATGATCTTTTACTATGATAATGCAGGTAAGGTTGAAGAGAAACGAAGAAGATGCAGCACGCTCGATACTGTCAAAAAGGTAAGATTAATTTGTGGTTGCTTGACACGTGTTTTAGTCTTTGTACCTGGAAAAGTTTTGAATGAAAAAAACTTTGAAGTAACCAACGTTTCCGCATTAAGCTTCTCAAGTAATTTTTGTTTTTGGTTGATCAAATATTCTGTTAGTCTTGGCAAATTTCTTCAAATGATCTTCTAAGGGAAATTTCAAGAATCCCATAAAAAAGATAACACTTTATTTTTACCATCAATTATAATCTTATCATTTATGCCATTAATATTCTGCTAAAATATCTTTCATATTCTGCTAGAAATTTTTTTTTTTCCTGGTGGGATATTTTTCGTATTCTACCAGAGTACGTTTTATGTTCTACCAAAATATTTTTTAATGACATAAATAATTGGATGATGAAAAATAATGGATGTTCTTGTAATTTTCTCATCTTTCTAATATGTGTAAGAAAAGTATGTTGAATCTCAGGAGGAACAATCTAAGGATTCCAAGCCACCCGATTCACGAGACGAAACTCCAGATGTGCACGGGAAGTGAGCACTGTCTGATATCAGTTAATGTGCCTCTGCCCCTAGAGCAATCAATACCCTCAGCCAAAATTAAAGAACAGTCGGAACAAGAACCTGTTCTGGAGAAAACTAGAGTTCGTACTCAGGCTGAAGATGATCCCTTTCGCAATAATGAAAATCCTATTACTCGGTCAACAGTACTGGAAAGTGAGGAAGTTTCAACTCTTAAGGAGAAGGATACACAAGAAGAAACTAAAATGGTCGTGACCGGCCAATCCCTCCCTCTTGTCAATCAGTCAAGTGCAGAGCCTCCCGGGGTGAACTTAGCTTCACTTTTTTTTTCCCCCTATTTTGTTGTTTTTCCATTTCCTCTTAACTCTGTTGAATTTGGCTTTACCTGGTTCTTCTTTATTATGGTTGACCAATTCATTTTTTACTAATATGATTCAGGAGCCAACTGTTGTAGAAGCAGGAGAAAGATCCTCTTCATTTGCTGAGTTTGATAAGTTATTTACTGACATTCAAAATCTATTGGGAGGAGAGAGTTCTAAGGCAGAAAATTTCAGCAGCCTTTTGCCACCTTCATGTAGTGTTGAGGAGATTGCTAGTGTCATCCAATTGGACAAAGCTCCTGTGCTCAAGAATTCACTTTCTATCATGCTAACTACCGGCAGGTTTCCTAGTAACATGGTAGACAGGACAACCAAGTTTCTAGCCGACATTGACGAAAGTTGTGAGACATATGAATCTGCAAAGCAAGACATTAGTGTGGCCCAAGAGGATGAAAAGAGGATGAAAAGAGAGTAAAATCAGATCTGTATCGAAATAAGTACACCGAAAATGGAAAAAAAATCAACAATCAAAAAATAAATCAGGTCGGGAAAAAATGAAGAAGGAAAAAATTTCTAACGGACAAAAGAGATACAAAAACATATCTCGGCAAAAAAATCCCAAAATGAAAAAAATTACAAACAATAAACAGTAACAAAATATATCATATCGTGAAAAAACACACAGAAGATAAAATTTTTTAACAGAAAAAATTGAAAGGAAAATGGAAGAATCAAAGAAGAAATGCAGAGAGCAAATATTAGATCGCACAAAAACGAAGAAAGAGAAAAAAGGCAGAGAGCAAAAAGTTGCAGAGGAAAGAGAATAAAAGTTTTAGACGCAACCATCATGAAGTTCTAGCACATTCTGTAATTAAGAGTAATGTTAAAAAAAAACCCCGCAAGAAATAGACAAAAACGACATCAGGCAAGAACTTGACATAAAGAACCAATATAGGACAAAACCGTAAATACACATTTAAAAGGTTAAAAACGGAAGTTCACTGTTCATAACACTGTACAGTGAACAGTACCTCTGAAGAGTCTCCTTTAGAATGTGATCTTTGGCACTTTAAAATTTAAGGTAAAATTAAAGTGGATTATCAGTTTTGGCCACCCCCTTTAATGGTCGAAATTGGTTTTAAGCGATAAAATTATTTAATTTATTTTTAAAAGTGCATCCGATTAGATTTTTTTTATTTTTTATTAATATTTTTTTAACTTATATAATATTTAATTAAAATGGCATTAACAAAAAATAAAGTGTAAAAATCAAGACTCATACAAGTTGAATACTGATTTACCAATGATTATCAATGATAGATCATAAATTATTGATTGATATTAATAATAGTTTATGAGTGATAAACCACTAAATTAATTAGTAATAAACTATAAGAAGTCCATCAATGATTAACTATTTTTAAAGTCAACCATTTTGTTATTTTATAAAGCGTGGGTCCTTTATTAAAATTAAAAATAAAAAACAGCCATTTCCTTAAAACCATAAAGGTGCGTTTAGTATATTGATCCAGAATTATGATTTTAAATTCTGGTTCAGAATTATTATTTGGTTTAGATGATTATGAATCATAATTCAAAATCTGATGTGATGTTTTAAACTAGCTCAAATTATAATCCAAATTAAAAACTCAAATCAGCAAACTAAATGGGCACTTTTTAATCACATCTAACTTTATAGTGTTCTAGTTATTATGTGATCTTCGGCACTTTTAAATTTAAGGTAAAATTAAAGTGGATTATCAGTTTTGGCCACCCCCTTTAATGGTCGAAATTGGTTTTAAGCGAGAAAATTATTTAATTTATTTTTAAAAGTGCATCCGTTTAGATTTTTATTTTTATTTTTTATTAATATTTTTTTAACTTATATAATATTTAATTAAAATGGCATTAACAAAAAATAAAGCGTAAAAATCAAGACTCATACAAGTCGAATACGATTTACCAATGATTATCAATGATAAATCATAAATTATTGATTGATATTAATATTAGTTTATGAGTGATAAACCACTAAATTAATTAGTAATAAACTATAAGAAGTCCATCAATGATTAACTATCTTTAAAGTCGGCCATTTTGTTATTTTATAAAGCGTGGGTCCTTTATTAAAAATTAAAAATAAAAAACAACCATTTCCTTAAAACCATAAAGGTGCATTTAGTAGATTGATTCAGAATCATGATTTTAAATTCTGGTTCAGAATTATTGTTTGGTTTGGATGATTCTGAATCATGATTCAAAATATGATGTGATGTTTTAAACTAGCTCAAATTATAATCTAAATTAAAAACTTAAATCAGCAAACTAAATGGGCACTTTTTAATCACATCTTACTTTATAGTGTTATGGTTATTATGTGATTTTTGGCACTTTTAAATTTAAGGTAAAATTAAAGTGGATTATCAGTTTTGGCCACCCCCTTTAATGGTCGAAATTGGTTTTAAGCGAGAAAATTATTTAATTTATTTTTAAAAGTGCATTCGTTTAGATTTTTATTTTTATTTTTTATTAATATTTTTTTAACTTATATAATATTTAATTAAAATGGCATTAATAAAAAATAAAGTGTAAAAATCAAGACTCATACAAGTCGAATACGATTTACCAATGATTATCAACGATAAATAATAAATTATTGATTGATATTAATATTAGTTTATGAGTGATAAATCACTAAATTAATTAGTAATAAACTATAAGAAGTCCATCAATGATTAACTATTTTTAAAGTAGGCCATTTTGTTATTTTATAAAGCGTGGGTCCTTTATTGAAAATTAAAAATAAAAAATAACTATTTCCTTAAAACTATAAAGGTGCGTTTAGTAGATGGATTTAGAATCATAATTTTAAATTCTGGTTCAGAATCATTGTTTGATTTGGATGATTCTGAATCATGATTCAGAATCTGATGTGATGTTTTAAACTAGCTCAAATTATGATTCTAAAACCACCTCCCATCTTGATTTAAGGTGATTCAAACCCCTAATTCTGAATCATAGTTTCAGAATCATAATTTAAACCTAAAATCATAAATCATGATTTTGATTCTAGAATCATAATTAAAATCACCATAATTTAAATTATCGTTCGAACTCTAAATTGATATTATACTTCTCCTCTAAGCTTTGAAGATAGAAGATCTTTTGCAGATGCCTTGACGAACAAAAAAAAAAAAAAAACACCGATCTCTACTTCTCCTCTAAGCTTTCAACGACGAAAAAACACACTTTCGTGGATGGATAGAAGACTACTACCCCTGTAGGCTTTTTCAACGCGCAAAAAAAAAAAAAAAAAAAAAAAAAAAAAAAAAGAGAGAAAAGTTACATAAATGATTTTTTTTTCTTTTTTTACTTTTGAACTTTTTTATTTTATGAAAATAGCTGAATTTTATTTTATGAAAATAACCTTTTTAAGGGGATGTTTATTTCTTGTAATCATTATTGATTTTGAATCATGATTCATAATTCTTTATAGTATTTTTTTCTCACAAAAAATACGCGTAAAACAAGAATAATTTTAAATCATAATTTTAAATTTATGAACCAAACGTCCACTAAAAGAGCCAATTTACCATCAATCATGACTTATAATTTATTTATTAATTAATAATTAATTAATTAATAATTAACTTTAATTAATAATAAAAAATAATTAAATTAAAATCAAACCGTGAAATCATTCCATAATTGACTGATAATAAAAAGGGTCGTTTGTAAATTTTACAAAACTTCCATTACTTATGAAAAAAGTACTTCAAAAAGCGTTAAAATCCAAAAAACAAAAAAAAACAAAAACAAAAACAAAAACAAAAAACCGCAGACCCGCAAGGAAGTCGTCTCGCAAAAAGAAATCCCTTTTGATCATGTGCTTTCCTTTTTTATGTATTGTTGAACATAGTTTCGTTTTTCTTTTAAAAACTATTTAGATTGAGCTATAATTTCCACTTCCTAGCTTCACATTGACGCTGATTTTATTTCTCTCTTGATCGTTCAGATTGTTTCGCTGCACTTTGATCACTTTGATCATCCTTGGAAGGTAAATTCTATCGTTTTTCCTCGTTCCTCTTTTCTCATTTCTAATTTCACGAAAATGTCTCCTTCCTAATGCTGAAACTTAAATGAGAAACAATAGAAAATATAGCATAACTTTGAAGCTTCTTGTGTTCTCTCTTCATTAACGTTAACTGTCTTAGGCTCATAATAGCATGTACTTGAGCTAAGCCAATTCTTGGTTGTTGTAGTAACAGTAGTAGAAGATTTTTTTTTTTTTTTTTTTTTTTGAGGAAATTATTATTACTATTTTAACGATAGCCCATAAGTAGTTATAATTTCTTGATGATTTTGTTTACTTTTTCTTTTATTAACTTAATTGAGTTACATTAAACTGATCTCATACACTGCTACAGTGTGGCCTAAATTATCAGAATTTCCCTTATTTTGGGAAATTTGGTGAGATGGTCGTTGAGCTGGTTAATAAGGGATAAACCATCACGTCAATCAGTAATTGACCAGTAAATCATTAATTAACATTGGTTAATCACTTATTGATATTGCTCATTCTGTGATTGCTCACCATTTTCCTGCGTATCCAGCTATTATCATTCTTGGGGCTTAACCTTTGAAAAATTAAAAACAAATGTTAATTTTCTTGTTTTTCTTTTTCCCTTTTCTTTTCTGCTCTTTTTGATATCCAATCAATATGCTAATTTTTTTCTCCATTTACTTTGTTTTGTTGTTTGTTTATTTTGCTTAAGAACTTTTAATTGGTCAAGCAGAAAAAGCAAGTAGCATGGAAGTACATGAATTTTCATGTACGCGGTGCAGATGGACAATTGATAACTTTTCGAACCTTGATAACAAGAAGCTCTGTTCGGATATTTTCTCTACAGGAGGCTACAAATGGTAACTAAGTTTTGCTATTTATCAATGTGGTTGGTAGATTAAGGCCTCATTCATTTCACTGATTTGCGTTTTCAATTTCCATTTTGCTACAGTTAGATGCTCTCACAAAGAGTCACATCTAAATTTTTCTACTACAGTAAAAAACTTTCATATAAAATCACAACTTAGCTCAAATTTAAACTCGAATCAATGAACTGAATGAGGCCTAAGTATATTGCTAACTAATTAGTCCATTCAGTTGGTTAAACAACATTCTGATTCTAATTGAAACATACAGGAGGATATTGATTTTCCCTAAAGCGTACAACGTTGATTATTTGTCAATATATCTCAAAGTTCCTGATTTGGCAACCTTGCCTAAAGGATGGTCTAGAGATGCCCAGTTTAGCTTTTCTGTCGTAAATCAGATTGATAGCAAAAACACAATCAAAATAGGTACGATATTCTATCTAATCATGATGTTCACATAAAGAAGTCATGAAGTAGCATAACAATTATTGGATAGTGATGCTGCTTACGCGCCTAGCTAAAATTGTGTTCATTTGTATTCTGCAGATGCACAACATGTATTCAATGCAAGAAAGAGTGTTTGGGGTTACAACTCATTTATTCCTCTTAGTAAACTCTCTTCTGCTAAGGGTTTTATTTTGAAAGATACATGCATCATTGAAGCAGAGGTATATTGTTATTGAGTGCTGCTAAAGTACGGGAAAAATAAAAGTTGTGTGTGAATTAAGAACCACAAAGCTTTGTTTATATGAATTATCTCCTACTTACTTTTCCGTTGTTTTTACTTTAAAGAAAGTTTGAATCTTCATATTTGTTGTCAAGAAAGCACTGTTATGATCTTTTACTATGATAATGCAGGTAAGGTTGAAGAGAAACGAAGAAGATGAAGCACGCCTCGATACTGTCAAAAAGGTAAGATTAATTTGTGGTTGTTCCGTATTAAGCTTCTCAAGTAATTTTTGTTTTTGGTTGATCAAATATTCTGTTAGTCTTGGCAAATTTCGTCAAATGATCTTCTAAGGGAAATTTCAAGAATCCCATAAAAAAGATAACACTATTTATTTTTACCATCAATTATAATCTTATCATTTATGCCATTAATATCTTTTTAGAATTTTTTTTTCCCTGGTGGGATATTTTTCGTATTCTACCAGAGTACGTTTTATGTTCTACCAAAATATTTTCTAATGGCATAAATAATAGGATGATGAAAAATTATTGATATTCTTGTAATTTTCTCATCTTTCTAATATGTGTAAGAACAGTCTGTTGAAGCTCAGGAGGAACAATCTAAGGATTCCAAGCCACCTGAGCACTCTCTGAAATCAGTTAATGTGCCTCTGCCCCCAGAGCAATCAAAACCCTCAGCCAAAATTAAAGAACAGTCGGAACAAGAACCTGTTCTGGAGAAAACTAGAGTTCGTACTCAGACTGAAGATGATCCCTTTCGCAATAATGAAAATCCTGTTACTCGCTCAACAGTACTGGAAAGTGAGGAAGTTTCAACTCTTAAGGAGGAGGATACACAAGAAGAAACTGAAATGGTCGTGACCGGCCAATCCCTCCCTCTTGTCAATCAGTCAAGTGCAGAGCCTCCCGGGGTGAACTTAGCTTCACTTTTTTTTTTCCCTATTTTGTTGTTTTTCCATTTCCCTCTAACTCTGTTGAATTTGGCTTTACCTGGTTCTTCTTTATTATGGTTGACCAATTCATTTTTTACTAATATGATTCAGGAGCCAACTGTTGTAGAAGCAGGAAAAAGATCCTCTTCATTTGCTGAATTTGATAAGTTATTTACTGACATTCAAAATCTATTGGGAGGAGAGAGTTCGAAGGCAGAAAATTTCAGCAGCCTTTTCCCACCTTCATGTAGTGTTGAGGAGATTGCCGATGCGAAGAAATTCTTAAGACAATGCCTCAATATGAGTCTTGCTAGTGTCATCCAATTGGACAAAGCTCCTGAGCTAAAGAATTCACTTGCTATCATGCTAACTACCGGTAGGTTTCCTAGTAACATGGTAGACAGGACAACCAAGTTTCTAGCCGACATTGACAAAAGTTGTGAGACGTATGAATCAGCAAAGCAAGACATAAGTGTGGCCCAAGAGGATGAAAAGGCTGTAGGTGAGCTGAAGACCGCTCTGAACCAATTGTTTTCAGAGTTCATACCTCTAAGGAATCAAGCTGAGACTGTTGATCGAGAAATAGCTAAGCTAGAGAAACAAATGGCTGAAAGGAAGGCGAAGAAGGCGCAGCTTAGTAAGAGACTTGAAGATTTGGCTGGTCGAGCAACTACTTCAAAAAAGGCAGTGGTCAGTGCTGAAGAGAAGATGAGGCTGTCTGCCGTCAAGAAGGAACAAGCAGAGAAGAAGATTGGTGACATGGAAAGGTCATGGGAATCTTTGAAGGTTGATTGTTCTCAATCGCTTTAATTTCTTAGAACCTTGTACACCGAAAAGACCTACAAGCATAATACCTGGACTTCAATGTCATCCGACCACACACTAATGTTTAAGTTAGTGTATGACTAGTGAGAATGTGAGTAGTGTACTGTTTTATGGAGTGTCTGAACTTGTGGTGGTGGATTAGTGTAGAATTTATTGGCACGCTATTCAGTTATCGGTAGACCTAGCCCACTGTGGCTCGGTCGTTACAGCTTTTGTGAAAAATGCATTGCTCGTGTGGGGAGGACGACCCTTTGAAACATCCTTGCAAGGCTTGTTAGGTGACTACATACATCCTCTCGAGTGCCGATGTGTTTGGTGATCAGCATTGTTCGTCGCATCAAGTGAAACAGAGAGCGTGAGCAGATGATCGGGATGGTTGTTACATTCTTCTACTCCAAGGAGGATAGTAAGAATGTGTTTGGCATGGAAGTTGTGTTTGGGGCCATGCTAGTGGCTGAACACTACCGACTATATAAACAGGTTGATTTGATAACTGTTTTGATGGGAAATGGACATATTACTCTTTTTTTTTTTTTTTTTTGAATTGTGTGGAACTAGCCATGTATTTTTTTGGGGGTAACGAGACATTTTGCACTTAGAAAAACAAAAGGAATTAGATGCCATAATGTTATACATGAAAGTTTTAAATCCGATATATTAACCGTCCACATTTAGTTCCTGGTTGTTATCCAAAATTTCTCATGTTTCCTTCATACAATTACGCCAACTTGTTAATCACACATGCACCCTTTGTTTTTGGAAATGAAATTACAACTCAAACATAAATATTGAATCAACAATATGTCCAAATGAAATTTGGAAATAAACAGAAACAACAAAGGGGGAGGATAATCAAGGCCCGTGTTCTACACTGTGTCCTTAAAAGGAGATGGCCCCTTTCTATGTCTTGGAGAAAACATGCAACGACCTGCACCCCCACCTGATATGATATTGTCCGCTTTGAGCTTGAGCCTGTTAGGTTTTGCTTTTGGGCTTCACCACAAAAGGCCTCATACCATTGGAAGATGGCTTCACCACAAAAGGCCTAATCCTCTGTGCGACATTGATGCCCAATAATTCTCGTACCCCCGGCCCCCTCTACATGCCATTATTCCTATTCTTTTTTCTTATACTTCGATTGCGCATAGTTTACGTAGAGGATAAAATATACAATTATATACAAACTTTATAGATGATCGTAATAAGTACATTTTACATGTAAAGTGATTAGACCCACTAGCTTGGAATATTCTCCGATGCAAATTGCTCTCTTCAAAGTTTTTAAGGGAGAAAGAAGACAGAAAAAAGACAAAAAAAGTCACGGCTTGTCTAATCTCAATTGCTGGTTGTTTTAGATAATGTAGTATCTTTCTTGCCATTTTTTTTAATATCATTGTGTTTGCTTGTTAGTGTCCACGGAGGTGCGACGGTGCATTATAGAAATTGTTTATGTACTAAAAAAAGAAAAATTATTTGATATATTCGCGGTCTTAAAAAATTTAAATTTTTTTGAGAGAAATATTAGAGCAAAACAACAAACGACCCCAATTTTCTTTTAAGGCCGCTGGCCAATAGTCCAAATATTTTAGCCAAACTTTTGAACTTATTTGCTACTTTTATAATTGATTTAAGATAATGAAATATACAGATCTTACAGCTAAATACCAGCTTGGTAAAATCCTTCCAGGCATTGAAATAAATGTTCCAATCTTGATCCTTTGGGGTAGAAAGCTCTGATAGTAGATCTAAGACGATTGAATTTTTTTTTTTTTTTTTTTTTTGAAATGTTAAAAATGTTTTTTTATAAGTATCTTTTTCACCAGCACTAAGAAAATAGTTCGGTCCAAAAGTACTTAAAAAACACCAAAACACAAATATCGTTCCTAATTTTCTCGTCTTCTCCTCCATTGTTTACCAAAATCCCCACGCTGTCCCACCCCCCTCTCTCTCTCTCTCTCACTAAACCCGCCCCTCCTTTCTCTCTCTTCCCTTTCCTTTCCCCTTCCTCCGTTCTTCTCACTTCCATCTCTCTCTCTCTCCTCCCTTTCTCACACACTGACTTTCCTCACGGTCCGCAACCAATGGAAGGTTTTGCATCATCTTCTTTTTCTCCCTTTTCTCCCTTTTCTTTGAAAATTATTCTTTCTTTTTCGTATTCCAATTTTTATTTTTATCTTTTCATTTGCCCTATCTCTTGTTATGCACAGTTCATTCATTTCTTGATTTTTTTTCCCTGGGAACTTGACGTCCTTTTTCTCTCATTGTGCCTTGAATTGCGGGCTGTATCGGTTTTGAATCTTTCTGCTCTTTGGTTGCAAAGAAATTTGTTATGAATTAAAGGAAAATATTGCAAAAGTTGGCATTATATTTCGTG